TTTTCATATTTTTGGTAAACAGAAATTCTAAGGAGGAACTTAATAAAAAATAATAGAAGAGTAATTTAGGATAAAACAAACAAATAAAATCACAATAAAACAAAATGCTGTCATTTTCTCACAGATAGGCTTATTTCATAATGAGTTCACATTTGACAACAACAAAATAAACACTTCTCATGCTTATTTTGAACAAGTTATATCGTTCAAAAGTCTTCAAATACGTCCTAAACTAAACGATGTGTACATAACGTTAGTGTATTATACGCGAGACAATAAGATGGAAACACTGTACTGTGCACTAAATGTCTATTTGGTTATCATTCCTCATTTTACAACTTCTTCCTCAACAGTAGGTTACATTTATATTTATATTTATTAAGTAAACTGATATCAAACTAAAGCATAATGCTCATGGATTCACCATAAACCCTGACCACACAACACACAAGCTAATACACCTTTTGAATTACTAGCACCAAACAAAGTCTTTCAATCCTTTCAATAGGGTTAAACAAATATTATCACTCGCCCAAAAATATATAAATCAACTCACCGGAGACGCACTTGAGCAAATGTCTCTCGTAGAACTGTTTTCTGTCAGCGTGTCTCATCCAGCGTAAACTGGCGCTACGTAGAAATGAGTAAAGTGCGTGCGCGTAACCCAAACCACACCTGAATGACAGCGTGTGACGTCACGTCCTAATCACGAATCACCTGTCAGCTACACAATGGTTGTGACATATCAGTTGTGGCATTAAAAGTGCACTTTCTTTCTTTTCTTTCTTTCTTTCTTTAATTGGACATCTTTTACATGTTTTTATCGTTTGTTTTTTTTCTTTGATGCTGTGATAATATATGACTGAATAGCCTAAATGAATATATAATAATATATAAGACTTTATGAATGTCTATAAATGTTTAATTAACATCAGGAACTGGTGAGTTTAAAAGTATTCAGGAATTAATACATTTCAGCCAATAAGAAGAGCGTGTGGGCTCTGTGGAGCTCTTTTTCTGCAAGCATATTTCTGCTGCGACAAACTAAGTAAACGATGAAATATTTATTACAATTTAACAGTTTAAGCATTATTCACAATACATACTCCCACATGCATTCTTCATTATGAAATGCACTTGATTGTTAACAAAGAGTTCACCTGTGCCTGTGAATAATTTTCAAAATCTGAAGTAAATTATATTCATTGTACGACATCAAACTATTTTCATATTGTGAAATACTCATTATTTAAGGCCATTAGTTATTCATGTTTTTTTTACTTATTTAATGTTTATTATTAATAATTACACGTAATTGCAGTTCTAAAATATTCACAATATTTCTTTTAAAAAACCTACAAGAAAAATTTACTGTATCAATGGACTTGCATTTTTTGTCTTGACAGGACAACAGTTATATTCAAGAGAGATTCTTTAAAAAGCCCTCGAAACGAATTGAATATACAATTATTCTAGCACTCATGAATACTAATGTGGACTAATAACTAGAGACTGCTATAGTTGTAGTTCTCATTCAACTAATTAACTAACTAACGATTTAGCTATTAGCTAACTATTGATTTAACTAACTAACAAACTAACTTACTATTAAACTAACTTACCAACTAACTCACTACTAACCAACTATTTAACAATTTAATTAACTAGCTAAATAACTATTTAACTGTCTAACTATTAACTTACTATTCAACCAACTACTTTACTTACTTACTAACTTACTATTTAACTAACTAAATTACCAACTATTTAACTAAGTAACTATTTAACTTTAAATAGCTAACTATTTAACTAAATAACTAAATATTTAACTAACTATATAACTAATTGTTTAACTATTTACCCATTTAACTAACTAAATATTTAACTAACGATTTCACCAAGTTACAATTTAACTAACCATTGAAATAGCTAACTATTTAACTAACTATTGAACTAATTAACTAACTACTAAATATTTAACTAACTATATAACTAAATAACTATTTAACTAAAGAATAAACTACAGTAACCATTTAACTAACTATTTAACTAAGTAACTATTTAACTAACTATTGAAATATCTAACTATTAAACTAATTAACTATTTAACTAACTGGCTAACTAACTTACTAATTATTTACCTAACTAACTATTTAACTAACATACTAACTAATTAATAGGGGAGAACATGCAGTCTCCACAGAGAAGTGCAAACTGGTCTAGCCAGAACTGGAACCACTGAGCCCCCGTTGTTGCATACATTCCTACAATAAGAATTCATCAGTGATGAACAATAATCAGAAAGCTGCACATGAGGCCATGCGGAATTTATTGAATGCAATTGAAATCGAACATGTTACTTGAACAATATGACAGCACAGCGCCTGAAAGAAAAGAAAATAAGAGAGAGAGAGAGAGAGAGAGAGAGAGACGTGCTGGAGAGATCAGAAAACACACACTGTACACTTTTCTATCGTGCTCATTTACAGTTAAATAACCCTCGTTTGATGCTAGAAACGTCCAAATAAGATCCGGTAGTACCTTTTCTAATGGATGTAAGATATCAGCTACTGTGTTTTCAGGCCTGTGCGGATTATTTCCTGGTCCAAACAGTGATACATTAACACTAAGTAAACGTTTGTATGGGAGAACAGGTGAGTAAGTTCATGTTGCAGGAGGCAAGCACCAAAAATCTTTTTTTTGTTTGTTTGTTTGTTTGTTGTTTTGTACATTTATTCCTACTGAAATAAAGGACACAAAAGAAAGGCTGTTTCTGTCAGGCAACAAAAGCCTCTACCCGTATAAAACCACATTCTGCCTTAAGATGATTGAAGTTGTGGCCAAATTTGCACCATTAACATCGAAATTTTGAATTGTCGAATGTTTTCCCGAGTATATTTCGCAGGTATAAAAAAATGTTGTTTACCAAGCTGCTTGGTATGAGCCATTTAACACTTTGGTACACTGTTAACTTTTTTTTTGCCCAAAAACTCACCAAAACATGATAATAGCCAATTTTCTCTATTCTTTCTAAATGAAACATTAATGAAAGTGGTCACACATTAAGGGCGAATGCTTACAGATTAAAAACCAAAATGTCCTAAATTTTCAGAAAGCTCTAGGCGCACAAAACGTGGCATGATTGAGGTCTTAAGCCAAAATATTATTAATTATTATTATTATTTAAAATAATTTACCAATCAAACTATGTAGCCCTCAGTCACAATACATGGAAATGGCTCTAAAAATATACCATTTGGCAAACTGCTTTTAATACTTCTTTGTGATCTGAAACTGGCAAACACTGTTCTCGAGATCAGTCAACAACACAACCCTAATTAACAGTACAAAAGTATTCAGAACATGATTATTACTCCAGCACATGATCCTGGAGTCATCCATGGACACATACCATAACAATTCAGTCCAGCATAATCCACACATTTAGTTTTAAACTAATGTAACAAAACCACTCGTCTTATTTAAGACCTTTTATGAAAGATAAATACTGATTAAATAGATCAATATGCTGAACATTTCCTTCAGTCGGTCAAAAAAAACAACAATATATATATAAAAAAAGCACATACACATATTGGAACGAAATCAAATGAAACAAATTCACAATCCTGCTGTGAATCAATGCCATTAGATAATATTGAAACCCATTGAACGTGGGTTCGACCTGCAAACAATACCACTCACTGCACATTAGCACACTGGTTGATGTATAAAACGCTACCTAACAAAAGTATTGCAGTCTATCTAAGTTTTAAGAACAACATATCATAACTTGACTTCTAGTTGATCATTTGGTATCAGAAGTGGCTTATATGAAAGACAAAGGCCTCTAGATTACACTAAGTTTACCAAAATAAAACATGATCATGCCTTGATTTTTAACTATTTAATTAAGACAGTAAGGTCTGACTTTGCTTAGACAAAAGTCTTTTCACTTAACTGAAATAATGTATAGTATAGAATATAAAGTCTTGCTGCAGAGGAAAAAAAAATTACATTGTGTATGACTCCAATGAGCTTGGACAGCTGCATTTATACAGCTCTGCAATGACTCAAATTATGAAGTCATCTGGAATGGCAAAGAAAGCATTCATGCAGGACACCCAGAGTTTATCAAGAGTCTTTGGATTCATCTTCAATGCCTCCTCCTTCATCTTACCCCAGACATGCTCAATAATGTTCAGTTCTGGTGATTGGGCTGGCCAATCTTTTAGCACCTTGACCCTCTTTGCTTTCAGGAACTTTATGTGGAAGCTGAAGTATGAGAAGGAGCGCTATCCTGCTGAAGAATTTGCCCTCTCCTGTGCTTTGGGCAGCACAAATGTCTTGATACCTCAGGCTGCTGATGTTGCCATCCACGCTGCAGATCTCTCGCACTCCCCCATACTGAATGTAACCACAAACCATGATTTTTCCTTTACCAAACTTGACTGATTTAAGTGAGAATCTTGGGTCCATGCAGGTTCCAATAGGTCTTATGCAGTATTTGGGAGGATTGGGATGCAGTTCAACAGATGATTCATCTGAAAAATCTACCTTCTGCCACTTTTCCAAATGATCAACTAGAAGTCAAGTTGCGAAAAACTGGGATTGACAACAAGACTTTTGTCAGGCAGTGTATATACAACAGGAACCTTCCGGATCACAAGCTACAAGCTATGTGAGAAACTTTCCATAAGCAGCCGTACAATCGTGTCAGGACAGTTGTTAAAAACGAAATCAATTAAAACCAACAAAAATAAAGCAACATAAGGCCACACGTTAACATATGTGCGAGATTTCTGTACAAACTAAGAACATTCAGTGCGTTAGTGTCCCAAATTAAAGTAACAGGTCACACATGACAAACTTTCAATATTTTCCTTAATCTTTTGGCACGTTTAAATAAAAACGACATGTATGCGGTGCAGTAAAACTGCCAAAAAAGATTTGGGAGTTTGATCCATCCCGTAGAGTTTTTACATTCCAGTTGTGCATAATTTTTTTTTCGCAAACGTGTGTGTGTCCGAACAACAACTGACGGAAGAGTGTAAAAAGTGTCGCAGGATTTGAGTATGTACAAACAAGTGCATTGAGATAGTGTATGTCCCATGCTGAGAAACACTAGGACTTGACAGCCGCTACTTTCTTGGGCGTTCCTGGTTTTTTGGTCTGCCACAGGTGGCTGTGGATGGTTATGGCATCGACGCTTGCCGACATGGTCTTGGCTGGAATTTGGCTGAACTGCTTCCTGTCTGAGTTGTACTTGTAGAGGCCGTCGATCATCTTGCGCGAGATGGTTTTAGGACCAATGCCGGCCAACTTGTTGATCTCCTCTGCTTCGGGGCAGTACATGTAGAGAGAGCGAAACTGGCAGCCGGAATCCCGAAACAGGATCAGGAAGTTGTTGGCCCCTGATTTCTCCATTTCCTTGAGAAAACAAATATGATCAGCACTTTTAATTACACAGAAATGTATACACAAAAACAGTATGCTTACCTCCAAAATCTTGTTTTTCTGTCCCTCGTTGACTTTGCCAGCCAAACAGCAATGTGCCAAAGCATTCTGAATTATATGCTTGTTGGACTTTGCACTGGGCTCTTTGTATAATTTAGGACCTGCAGGAAAGAAATTGAGAAGTTATAATAAAATATAAAGCCACTGTATCATCTGAGACTGCTGTTCACCCTCCAATCCTCTAGAGGGAGCCCACAAAGTTAATTTAATTTAATTATATTGTATTCAGGTGTAATTATGCACTTGTTAAGTAGTAATAAGCGTTTACAAAGGGATATAATACTTTCGAAAATCACGAACACAATATATACATACATACATACATACATATATATATATATCCATTCCTAATATCCAATGGCCAGAAAGTGATAAATTTTTTATAAATTGTTAAAATGATGGTATTTTCGATGCAGAAAGTCCAGAGACTGATGTGTACACTATCATTTTATATAAAATTCACTTTAATGTGTGATAAAACTAAAAAGTGGCCATAAACAAATATTTTCTCAAATCAAATGTGCAGCGATTTGAACCCGGAAACAGTATTTCAGATGTCACCGATACGTCACCAATTAACAATCAGATGGTAAAAAGTTTGGTCATAAAGCCGGGTTTACACCTGATATTAAGGCATTTCATGGTCTTAACACTCCTGTGGACGAATGCATTCAGACAAGCACACAAGACCCCCTACTGTCTATCTATTAACCCTAACTCTTAGATATCATGGGATGTGATGCTGAAGCACGCTAGCAGGATTTAAACTTTACCTTCTGAAATCATAAGCTTAATTTTACAGCGATTAAATTTATAAACAACCACATAGTTTTCCTATCAGTCCTGATTCTAATGAAAAAGGGCCTTTCATACACAGTAGTTATAGGAACTCATTTATAGGAACTTCAGGCTGATTTATACTTCTGCGTCAAGCGCACGCGTATGCTCCGGCACAGCCTGCACATGGTCCCACAGCCCTCGCCGTGGCTGACGCTGACTCGCACATCGCAACAAAACGCTGAGTAGTGCAAACTCTGTGATTGATTGGCTTGGTAGCACAAGTGTGGGCGGGACAGAGAGCCGGGGGAACCCGTAAGAGCGAGTGTTTACAAGTGTTGAGTCAAGCAAAAAAGCTCCAGATGGAAAGTTTTGACTTGTGTACATGATTAAAGTTGTTGCACTGGTCCCGCCTCAAAATGAGTGAGTTTGAGCTACTTAAGTTTCAGAAAAAACTAAACACCCAGTGTCCCTGAAGTCCGAGTATACCAAATAGCAAGTACACCAGTAAACTAAATGTTATGGCACACTGAATACAAATTAATTTTCGCACATTAAAAAATAAGTTTGACCTCACCTTGTGTCAATCGTATTGGTATGTTCCGTTTATCGCATCGGAGAAAGTGCTTTGAGATGGGTTTTTTGACAGTTCAGAGCCACCGTACAAGCAAAAAGCTAAATGCCATTACTTGAGCCAGATAACTTTATGACAAACACAGTGCATAATATAAAATAAAATGTGGCGTTGAGAAGCCATATATGCTGTATTTAGTGACTTGCGCACCTGCTGCTGTTTAGGGTGTGTGTCTCTACATTTGACATACTGCCCCATAGACATTATAATAGAAAACTAGAAGCCTCATAGTCCACCACGGTCCATTGCATTGGTTTCTTGCTAGATCAGATATGGCTGCGGCTGGAAGTTAACGAAAATGATTTACATTATTTATTAAATTTCCCATTTATTGTATTTTATTAACGTCTACCCCTACCCCAACCCTAAACCATCACAGTACTGTAAAAATATTCATTATTGTTATACAGTGTCATAAGAAATGCTGCCATGTTGATGTGCTTATCACACTTCCGGCCAGCCGTGTATCCTATACGTGTATCGATACGTCAACGCGTCCGCCATTTATTTTAATGTCTAGGCCTATAGTACTGCCAGTCTCTGTTCAGGATTTATTTATATATGAAATTTGTGAAGTATCAAGCAATGTATCAAAAGTCCACTGATATCCTGAAATAAACTTTGCATTTGGAGATAATCCAGCGCAGATCTTTGAGGCTGTAAGGAGGACTCTCCTTCATCTCTGCAGTATTGGATGAACACAATATGTAGCCTATTCCGCTTTCTTTTTCTATTTTGGTGAAGAGAGAGGAGAAGTATTACTGCTTGAAATGAGTTTGAAATGTTTAAAGTTTTTAGGAATGGATTAATTACAAATTTTTCAAATATGAACACGAAAAAAAATGCTTACGAAAATTTCGGACTTCAGTATGCAAATACCTTAACTCCTAAAACAAGAGTAAGTTACATGTAGGTAACATTATTGGAAATCAACCAAAATCTGCTGCTTTTTTTGTGGTTTTCTGGTCTCCTTTCATGGTCATATGTAAATTGTGTGCTTTTTTCATATTATTCATATTCATATTATATTTTAAATATAATATTATATATTATATTTGTCAAAAATACTTAATCGAAGTGTACAGGTGCTTAGAAAAGCTCTAACGTAGAGAGTAATGCTCAGAATTAACATACAGGCATTGACCTCCCTCTGGTGGTCTAGAGGTGGAACTGCAGCATTCAAATACAGTTAAGACTGTTTGTTACCAGTGTATTCAGTGTTGGATGTCAGAGATGATGTGGTTGAACCGTTCTCCCAGTCTTTCTCTCCGTTACGGCTGCGGGTGGGCGACAGGCATCCGTCTGCTGAGTCAGGCCTACTGGGATGGCATAATAAACTTAGTCAAACTTTGACAAGGAACAGTGATGATATATTTAACAACTCCTGCTCTCATGCAAAATCAAGCAGTGAGGACTTGGTGACTGAATTTAAGTTCTTAATCATAACCATGTTTAGATTAGATTAGTTATTTATATGTAATTGTAATCAGCGTCAGATGAAAAACCAACAATAGTTTTAATATGACATTTTTCATTCGTTTATTCATTTTCTTTTCGGCTTAGCCCCTTTATTAATCTAGGGTCTTCACAGTGGAATGAATCAACTTATCCAGCATGTGTTTTACACAGCGGATGTCCTATCAGCTGCAACCCAATCACTGGGTAACATCCATATGCTCCCATTTACAAAAATACACTACGGACAATTTAGCTTATTTAATTGACCTATAACACATGTCTTTGGACTTGTGGTGGAAACCGGAGCACCCAAAGGAAATCCATGCGAACACGGGGAGAACATGCAAACTTCAATATGACATTTTTAAAGCAACAAAATATTATGGTGTTTAATAATTTTGTATCTTTTAAAAGCTTCTGACAAGAGTGTGAAGTGCAGATCTTTATTGTAGTTTTTGTTTCAGTGCCATTCAGTGCCAGTTAGTGAATTATAACATCTGCTAGTTTAATAATGACAAAAATAAAACCAAAAAAGCAGTGATGGGTAAACTACAGTAGCCATCTTTATTGCTCAAAGATGGGGATCATTCCTCGTGTCGCTGCCGAACTCAAAGCAAAATAGGATGATCTTCTTGAACAGAAGATTGAAGCACAAAAAGTCTTATCCGACTACGACTGACCTTCTATTTCTCACACGAGGAGAGTTCAAAAAGAAGAAAAGACTGCCAGATGCTAAGCTATTGCTTCTAAGAAGCCAGAACATTCAAGAACATGAAGGAAAAAATACAGAAGATTCAAGTATACAAGGTTAGTATTGTACAGTAAAGTTGCAGAAATATATACAATTGCTGGGAAACAGGAAATAAATATTCTTTTTGCCTAACTGGCTCTTACCTGGGTGTTTTCTTATCGGAGTTGACGCTGTCATTATCTCCAAGAGAAGCCAGAGACAGGCTAGAAACTGAAAAAACACGAGGTCGTGAACCTGCATTCAAAACACAAAACGGGACAGGACCCACAGTTACACAAAACAACAGCAAGCCCACTGAACTTTGTGTTACCCTCATAACAGTACAGCTCTCTGCAATGATCTTGCAAACTTCTTTAAAGGGCAACTATTTTACCCCTTGTTCAAGATTTAAGATAAGACTTTTGTGTCTTCAGAATGTGTCTGTTAAATTTCAGCTCAAAACACCCATCAGATTATTTATTATACCTTTCAGAACATTGTGTCTGTCAGAGTGTGCCTCAATCTCTGCCTCAGCTGCATCAGATAAACAGCACATTGACAGACGTGAAAGTAGCAGATCACACGTAACGTTTGAGAAAAATACTACAGTAAGAACTTTCCCAATGATTATTTGATGTATTTGTTGTGGAGTTAATTCAAGCCTTTCTGCAATGATGAGTCACGCACAATGTCGTTACAAAGTTCATGCACACACACACACACACACACACACACACACACACACACACACACACACACACACACACACACACACACACACACACACACAGTGAACGTGTTTTACTTTAAACTGTTTTTGCACAGCAAATGTGACAGGATACACATTAATATCTACTGCTGTATGGATATCCGTTATATTATGTTTTTGTTATTTTTTTTATATATGTTTTATATATTTAGTTTTTTTATTATATTACATAGTTGTACAGACATGTGGCTGTGGTGATAAAGAAGGTAAAATCACTGTAATTCATTACAAACATGAACTGTTTTAAAAACGCTTTAAACTTGTAAAACTCATTCTTGATCACATTTGATGATAACTGACGATCACAAAGCGCTCAACAGATCTTTTTATCCCAGTTGCTTTGCGCACGTCCTGTCTTGTTGACATGATTATACGCGTCACTACAGAGACAAGTTAATACACTGCTGTCAATCAATTCGGTGGGCAGGAAAACCGAACTCATACGTCACGTTGCAGTGGGCCTCAAAATGGGAGGGATTTTGATCCTATTTTAATGCCAGGAAACTTCAACAAAGAGACTTGTTGTGTTTATATCACCCCAATATGACTGTGGAGATATAGTCATATAGTACTACAACTTTAATATTTTGTACAGCTGGTTGTATCAAAAAGAAAGAATTTGAGACAGATTGTGATTGGAATTAGAACTGCTTTGTTAGATTAGTCAGACAATATGTAAACTGGTTAGAATGGAAGATATTTTGAGCAAGTAAAGTTAGAAGGAAATGCAGACGAGCTGGAAAAGGAAAGGCTTGAGAGTAGCACAAAGCATGCAGTACTGGGCTATGCCAGTAGGGGGTCACCCTCTACCTGCTGTGGCCCTGACAGGAGTCCTAGGGGACTCCATCACATCTCTATGGATGGACTTAGGCCGTGGTTTTCTTTGCTTTGCTCCTGTAGGCCGCGGTTTGACAAGCGTGTCCATGTCCTCCATCAGTTTCAGTTGTTTCCTCCTCAAGTATTCCTGCTTTATAAATTCTCGCCGAGCCTTTTCTTCTTCTTTCTTCAGGCGTTCTTCCTCTGCTTTTAACCTGTGGAGAAAAACATATATTAGAGTTCAGAATTAGGGGGCAAGAGTTTAGACTCTTTGATTGACAGCTGAGCTGGCTCTTACCTAGCCTCCTCTTTCTTCTGCTCATGCTCAGCCTCCAGCTGCTGTTTTCTCTGCTGGCTTTCCCGTTCTCTTCTCAGCCTTTTCTCCAGAAGTGCTGCTCGCTTCAAGGCCATGCTGTCCTCTTCCTTCATATCATCCTGACAACATAAACACATTATAAAAATTATATCAATCAATCAATCAATCAATCATCTCTGTTGTCTTACTGTTGCTGATGTGACTAGTCTTGATAAGCTAAATAAGCTACACTGCTCAGAGTCCCTGCAGAAAGCTAGCATCATAAATTATTTCTTTGCCTCAGATTTAGTTTGACCTGGATAAGACAGCTGCATTTTCCAGCAAACTGTCCTGAGGTAACCTCTTTCTATGACTGCACATTTCAAAGGTGCACTTACACTATTCTATCCGAACTGTGACTAGACGCTTTTATAGGTTCCTTAGACAAGCGTGAGTGCTTCAAATCGAGCCCAGGCACGGTTCAGTTGGGCTTTGGCGTAGTACGTTTGTGGTGTGAATGCAAAGCTTCTGAGCCTGAAACTGAAGAACCAACGTCAGTTTTAAAGGACTGTTTCGTAGAGATTTATTAATCATTCTAACTTTTCAATAAACACGAATTGTCATAGTTTAAAAATGCAAAATGCTATCTGCACGTCAGTTGCACCTTCAGCAAACCTCCTTATACCTTCAACACGATGACTTGTATGATTATTTATGAGCGTAAAAATTTGTGGATCTGTTTGTCAAAATATTTGACTGCGTGCCACTGCATTCCAAACAACTAAAACGATATAACTAAACCAATCGCCACTGTATGAAGCGAGAGTGCTTCTCTTCCTACCTACTGACCAGTTCCATTATCGATGACGGAAGCATGCCCTGACTTGTAAGATAAAGATGCAGTGTGTGTGCGGGCCATCGGGAGAGGGGAGGGGGGACAGTTGCCCTTTGGCACGGTTCAAGGCAGCTGTACTTAAATGAGTATGCTCTAATAAACATTTCAGGAATTATTATTAGCTAAACTTAACTTGCATTCAAATTAGTAAGAGTAATAATACTGACACTTGAGTTCACATTCGCCACCAAGTAGACACAATCTGTGTTTAATCAGAAGATTTATCTACAGGATTATTCTCTACCTTGAAGAAGAATCCACAGCACGCTTTCTGATCATCATCCTGATTTTCCCCAGAGGCCTCCTTCTCCACTTCCTCTTCTAATGCCTTTCCTTCCAGTGGTTTTAAAACAGAAAGTGGGACCTCAATCAGATTTTTATTGGTCTGATGGGCAATGTCAAATGGCTCTGTGGGAGTGACAATAACGGTCTCCATTACAATCTGCGACAAAACCTCAGAAACGGTAGATTCTACTGCAGGCTTAATGTCAGTTTTTGGCTTCTTTAGCTTTTCCCTTTTTTCTGTTTGCTTGATGTCCTTCCTGCTCTCCTCTTCTACATCTTCTGCCTTTTTAGCATGCAGGTCAGTGTCATCAGTTACAGCCTGTTGGGTTTCTTTGGTTGGGGAGGTGATAGTATCAGAAGAACATTCAATTGACAATGCCTCAAGACCTTGTTCAATGTCTTTGTCAGCTGTTGATAATGGTTTCTTCTCGTTTCCCATATATGAAAATGAGCAGGACATGGGCTGAGATGGGGAGAATCTTCTTAGGCGTGGTATGCTGTCTACTGACTGTGGGACGGTCAAAACTCTATTAAAGGGAGCAATCTTTAGCTCACTGGGTCTTGGTGTTCTTGGTGTCTTGGAGTGGAAAGAGGCAGACTTCCTCTTTAGATTAGTAGGGGAACGGTGTGTGGCTCTAGGAGAATCTGCAGGTGAGGGAGACCCAGAAGAGCGCGCCCCACTCCCTCTGAGCTCTCGTACCTGCTTTTGTGGTGAAGGCTGATGTGGTGACACAACCCAAGCTTGTTGCTCCCGCATCTGCATGATTACCTCCTGCTGTTGGGCCAGTCGCTGCATCTCAGTCTGCAGGAAGCTTAGAGAAGCATTGAGCTTCTCAATGGAGCGTGTGTATTCCATCAGGTCTGCCTCAGATGTGCCGTCCTCACCAGCAGACTTCAGCGGAGACTTGACGGGTTGGGGTGTCCCCACTGGTGTTTTGCTCTCCTCTGAGGTGGGAGTGTCCTCTTGAAATGGTGACGCTCCATCTACTCCTTTCCTCTTGACAACTGTGAGGAAAGCACTGCGGCCCATCTTTTGACGGTGTCGGGTAAAGGCTGCCTCCACTTTCTTCTTTTGGGCCTCAATGGCTCGACGCTTCTCTTCCAGTCTCATGCGCAGCTGCACCATTTCTGCAGCCATGGCCTGAGCTGGGTCCTTGGACGGTTGATGCGCAGGGCTGATTTCAGGAGAAGGAGCCCAAGAGACGGAGTGAGGAATGGCGAGATCTGACCCATCTGGTGTTGTGCCTTGGAAAGGAGCACTTTTGGTTTCTGTGTTCGGATTCAGTTTGCGTAATTTCTGCTCAGCAAAGCTGGTCAACTTAATCCCAGGTGTAAAAGCAGGAGTTGGGATACTTCCTGCAGGGGACTTGGCACTAAGGCTGCTGGGACATGGGCTTGTAGAGCCCTGGCTACGAGAAGCTCTCGCCTCAAAGTCTTGATCCATGTCAAACTCCATGCTGACAGTACAATCCCTTAGGGATGAGTCCTCGTCGAGTGTCTCTTGGATGTCCTCTGTCCGCACATGAATGCCAGTGTCTACTTCAGTGGTGGACGTGCTAGCGACCCCTTTGGATGATTCTGATACTGAATCTAGCTGACTATCCTTTGCTTTGGGGTTAAATTCACTTTTACTCTGGAGGTGAAGAAAGAAGCCTTCACTGGGCAAATGGGCCCTGGGGCTCTGTGATTTTTTCTCTGAGTTGTGGATGATCTCAAGGGCCTCTTCAATGCTAGGTGGCCCTGAGCCATTTAGACGGCTGTTATGATTTTCTGACAGGGTGTCAGGACAGCCTTCCTCCTCAATGCCCATGTTCTTGCCATTGACAGGCTGAAAGGACAGGTTTCTCTTTATGCCTCTGGTTCCATGGGGCATCTTGAAACCAAACCCTTCAGTGCTGACAGACCGAGTCATCCCTCGGCCAGTAGTTGTTTTGTTGTTACTGTCTTCATCAAATGGGATTTCAAAGGACACTCCCTGAGCAGGAGATCTAAAGAAATAAGATATTATGGTTTTTAATGGCATGTAAATTAAAAGTCTGTGCATTTAAGTGTTAATAAGGAGATGCACTAAAACTTACTTCTTCTCCTTGGGCCAGGTGCCCATGAAGCTCTCCACAAATGACATTGAGGTTGATCTCTTGATCTCACCTGTACAGCACACATACATAAGCATTTATAGCGCTGAACCTATTTCAGTTTGGTATTATTGTTGTCAACAAATTATCTTTGAGGACTTTGTACTCACTTGAGCCTGAAGTCTGTGGTTGAGGTCGAAGGGGGAGACTTAAAAAAAGAATATTAATATTAATACTATTTTAATACATTGACATTTGAACTAAATAAAGCATAAGGGGGAAGTTTTCGTAAGTGATTTTTGATCTACCTTGGTCTATCTGGACTAGGAGGTCTTTCCATAAAACTTCTCTTTGTGACTTTAGAGATGGGCACGGGTGGCAGATCTTTCAGTGAAGGGGCTGGTGCTAATAATCGTAATACACAAGTGTCAATATGCAAATATAAAGACAACAATTATTTCTGGGGGGAAACATTCTATTCTAAATATAGGTTACCTTCAGTGTCCAACACCTGAGGCTGAACGAATGGCGGCTTAACAACCTCGAACCACCAGAAGAGCTCAGCCATAAACACAAGATAGTTATTCTGGTAAAATAAATAAATAAACAAAAGAGTAAAGTTAGTGTCTCATCAAAAATGACAAGGAAAGACATACAAGGTAGGTGGACAATAAGTGCAATATTCCTCATCTCCCACAAGATGTCTCTGCAATCCTCTACATGCAAGACATGCATGAACAGACACCAATAGGAGAAAATAGATTTTCCATCATATTTTAATTGTATGGCATATATAGGGGAGGCTAAGCTATTATATTGGGTGACATGATGACGCAGTGGGTAGCGCTGTCACCTCACAGCACGAAGGACGCTGGTTCGAGCCCCAACCTGAGTCAGTTAGTATTTCTGTGTGGAATTTGCATGTTCTCCCATGTGTTTACGTGGGTTACCTCCGGGTGCTCTGGTTTCCCCCACAGTCCAAAGACATGCGCTGGGTGAATTAGGTAAGCTAATTTGTCTGTAGTGTTTGTGTGTATGTCCTGGTCCTCCAGATTGGGGGGTTGAGCGTTGGGCTAACAACATACCTTATAAAAACTAAATGCTATGAAACACCAATATTGTACAGCTAAATATCAACTTTGATATAAATGGCTCTTGGAGTAAGAAAGTAAGGTATTATATAACATAGAGTACATACAACATTTTTATGCTTTTGATGCTACAACCAACATCTCATGCCTCATTATACTACGACCGCAATATCCATGTGACCTTGAATTCATGGAGCGTACCTGACATGATGAAAAATGCCTCTGATACGCTATTCCCACTCAGCAGAAATTGCATCTAGCAGTTTAAAGGCACAGGGTAACAGCAGCAATTATCAGAGGCCACTCCCAGAAGACATTACCTCAGCATTTTAATTGACTTTTAACCACGAGTCCTTGCGCTCTTTATAGGCGAGTGCAGATCCCACACAAAGCCACATCTATTGCATGTAACGCAATGATTAAAAACATTTACTACTCAAATAATCCAAGACATCCTTTGGATAAAAGCGTCTGCCAAATACATAAATGGAAATGTATGGAGTGGTTGAGAGGGCAGATGGTGTTTGGCACATGCGTCGTCTCCCCCATCTGCCTGTCTACCTACTAATTCACACACAAGGCGTGAATGTATTATTAGCAGGCTTATCTGTAGTTTTATGGGATGTAAATGTTTCTTTCAATTAGCAACGTCAATTTAAAGTGTTAACCCTGAAATGGAAAGGATTCCTCAAAATTCTACAAAAATACACTACCTGAAAAAAGTCTTAGTTTTAGGAACAACAAATAATAATTTGACTTTTACTTGATCATTTGGTATCAGAAGTGGCAAAGGCCACTAGATTACGCTTATTTTACCAAAATAAAATATGATTATGCCTTGATTTTTAATTATTTAATTAGGACAGTAAGCAAACATACTTAATAATGTTTATGTCTGGTGACTGGGCTGGTCAATCCTGAAGCACCTTGACCTTCTTTGCTTTCAGGAAATTTGATGTAAAGGCTGAAGTTTAAGAAGGAGCGCTATCATGCTGAAGAATTTGCCCTCTCCTGTGGTTTGTAATGTATTGGGCAGCACAAATGTCTTGATACCTTAGGCTGTTGATGTTGCCATCCACTATGCAAATCTCTTGCATGCTCCCATAATGAATGTAACCCCAAGCCAGTTTTTTTTCCTTCACCAAACTTGACTGATTTCTGTAAGAATCTTGGGTCCATGAGGGTTCCAATAGGTCTTCTGCAGTGTTTGTGATGATTGGGATGCAGTTCAACAGAAGATTAATCTGAAAAATCTTCCTTCTGCCACTTTTCCAAATGATCAACTAGAAGTCAAGATATTATTTGTTGCTCTTACAACTGGGATCGACGACCAGACTTTTGTCAGGTAGTGTATATGTTTTGGTTCAGCTGTTAATCTGTTTAAATAATAGAGTCTGTATGATAACAGATCACAGATTCAAACCTGCACAAGTACTCGCCACACTGAACATTTCAATACAAGGATGTAGCTGGGATTAGATTACTGCTGACAGAAACTAGGTCAAGGTTACAGCTCGATGACCTGCTCTCAATTCTCTGAGATTCCACTCTGAAGTCTGGCACTGTATCAAACGCTCTCATGTCCTCTAACCAGAGGATGCTAGGTGCTAATAAAACCCAACATGATGTGAGATTTTGCTGCTATTTGCGGAATAACAAAAATAGTTGGGGTGTTAATTCCAGTGGCACTGCATTCAGAAAAAAAGTAGCCATTTAAAATGTGGTTTGAACTGTGGCCTCTTTGTGGTTTACAAGTGTGGCAAAGTTTCCAAATCTGCTGTGACTGGCAACTACATCACAACATTGTCCTGCCAATGAACCAAACCTTTCCATCTTATGCAGTTCCTGTCTTTCAAGAACATCTTCACGACTGAATTTTTTGCAGCAGATGTTCTTTCTATACAATCCAGAGAGGTTTGAGATCAAAGGCATCACGACATAACATTCAGAAAAAAAGAAAAAACAGTGTTCTCTTCCATCTGATCTCAATCAATGGAGTCATTTAATAACTAGAGAAGCAATAAAGTGCTCCAGTTTGACAGCATGTAGCACACAAAAGTTTTTATAAAACCAAAAAAATATTTGATGGCCTTGAGAGATATTTCACAAAACAAGTCAATTCCTTTTTAATAGAACCATTTAGGCTTCTTGGTAAAGCAATTCTATCGAGATCCTAGGGTTGTCAATAGTATTGACTTTACTACCATTCAATAATGAAATGCAAAAAAATGTCAATTTCCTGCTAACCTTTGAGCGCTGAGAGGACTGAGATTGGCTCTAAAGGATATTGCTTCACCACTGTTCACCAAGCGCAAACATATTTACATGGACACTGAAGCATTTGAAAGCCACGTCTACATGGGCAGGGATGGGCAGTGATGCATGTATTTCAAATATGTATTTTAACCCTTTGATGCACTAGCTATAAAATAGATACAGAAAAAATAAACTTAGTGTTGTGTGTTTATTTTTTTAAATACTGTAAAATACATTGTAAGAAGTCTACATTGGTGCTTTCTCAGTTATTTGCCAAGGCTTAAGATAAGACTAGAAAATTGAAGAATACTGAAGAAGTTGATCAGTGCTTGGAGTATGGATGGAAATTTTGCATCACATATAAAGAAAGTAACAGACAGATAGTAGAAGTAGATTCAGGAGTAAATCAAAATAACACAGGAAAATAAGATAAACCACAATACTTCATTGATTGTCTCAAATGCCAGTAGCTGTTCTGCAGGTGCACTTAACTTTGACAGTAATCATTATGAGACAAAAATATTGAATAGTCCAGTCTACAGACTGGTCAAAACATCCAACTCAAGTTTTATTTATTTATTTTTTAGATATCATCACCTTAATACTATAAGGTTCTATCGGACATTTTTTTCAAAATTGAGTTATTGACATATTCTTATTAAATGACTTATTTTTATTTATATAAACTTATTTACATTATGTGATATTTCTGTATAAGTTATTTACATTTTAAGAATTTCCAAGCATCTGCATTTTGCTCCCTGTTTGCTCCCAAATGGAAGAAAGTTTAGAAAATTTACATTTAGAGGACATTTATGGTCTCTGTCATGTTAATGTATGAAAGAGAACTGTTATGCGCATAGTGTTTGCTATATGGAATGCAAATCTTTGAAGCTCAACATCTCAAAATCATTTAGAACACAGATAGAACCTTATATTTCTAAGGTGATGATATGTAAGTACAATCTTTGGTTTTGGATGTAATGACATTGTAATTACATTGTAAATACATCAGAGATGTAATACAAAATTACAAACTTTTATCTTGTGTGCAACTGCTGTATCATTACATTGCAATTACATATTAGTTACATCCAAGATAATATTTATAAATGTAACTGTTTATTTTTTTATATTACATGTGCAGTATTTGGTAATTTATAGTTGTATACGTAAATATTTACAGCACACTTGTAATTATAAACTTTATTATGTCAATACATTGTAATTACATTGCTCTTATATATATATATATATATATATATATATATATATATATATATATATATAAGTGTGTGTGTGTGTGTGTGTGTGTGTGTGTGTGTGTGTGTGTGTGTGTGTGTGTGTGTGTGTGTGTGTGTATGTATGTATGTATGTACACACACACAGTACGTATGTAATTACAAACTTTTATTTAGGATGTATCCACTATGTCTTTACATTGTGATTACATTGTAAATTACAAGATTTACAAACATGTTTGTATATTTCATGTACAGTATGTATTTATACTTATATACATACATATGTACATGTAATATGCAATTACAAACTTTAATTTTGATTTATAAACATGTTTGTACGTGTGTGTAATTATTGTCATTACATTGTAAATATATTGTAGTTACATCTAAGCTAATATTTATAAATGTAAATGTTTCTTTGCATATTTCATGCACTGTATTTGTGTATTTATAGTTATTTATGTATATATACACAATCCGGTCTCACTTTATATTAAGTGGCCTTAACTAATATGTTCTCACAAAGGAATTAATAGTTTGTTACAATGTACTTATTGTGTAAATACATGTATTTATTGTGTACTTGTGCTTGATTAAATACCTGTATGTAACTACATCTGTAATTAAATTCTTTAATTACATTTGTAAATACACTGCTGACCATTCCCTACACCTTAACCCACCCTTAAACCTACCCACACCACAAAACCAGTCCATAACCCAACCCCTATCCCAACTCAAGAGCAGCACAGGTGTCCTCAAATACATTATGAACACATTAAGTACATTATGCAAGTACATAGTAGTTTAGGACACTTAATTAAAAGTGGGACTCACAATCCATATTTGGATTTGCATACATGTTACATTGTAATTACATTTCAGGTAATAATATCAATGTGTTTCTTTGAATATTTCAAGTACAGTGTGTATTTATAGTTTATTATTAAATGTACACAGTACACATATATGTAATATGTAATTATAAACTTTTATCTTGTATGTAATTACTGTGTTGTTACATTGTAACTACTCTTGCTGTTACATCCAAGACAATTTATAAAAATGTAAACGTGTTTTTGTATATTTCATGTACAGTATTTGTAAATTAAAGTTATACATAAATATACACAGTACACATGTAACATGTAATTACAAACTTTTAGTTTGGATGTAATTACTATGTCGTTAAATTGTTGTTACGTCTGAGATAATATTTATAAATGTAAATATTTCTTTGCATATTGCACGTGTAGCATTTGGTTATTTATATCTCTATATGTAAATATACACAGCACACATGTAATAACAAACGTTTATCTAGAGTGAAATTACTCTGTCTGTACATTGCAATTACATGTTATTACATCCTAGATAATGTTTATAACTTTAAATGTTGCTTTGTATGTTTCATGTACAGTATTTGTGTATTTATATGTATATATACGCAGTGAATATGTAATTACAAAATTTTTAATTTGGATGTAACTACATTATAATTAATATGTAATAACACTGTATTTTACATGTTATAGCATTATAATTACATTGTTATAACGTTATAATTACATCTATGATAGTGTTGTAAATGTCTTTTTGTATATTTCATGTACAGTACAGTGTATATTTTATATTGTGCATTGAACAGTACAATTGCAAAACAATATAGAATGACTAAAACTGGAGATTTTCGTAGTTTTCAGAAATCGTGATTTTTTTTTTGAGTATTGAAGATGTCAAGTGCTTTAAAAGACTTTTAAGACATGGTGGCAATTTTCACAATCAAGTGATATAGTATAATATTCCAACTCATTATCTGCACTAAATGACTTTTACAGTGATTAAAGGGATCATCTTCAACATCTTCATATTTTCTGTATGAAAATTGTACAAAAAAACTATATTAAAATTAAAGAGAAACACAAGTTGCATTTACATTATTTTCAAAATACAAAAACACAGTATTTTATTTTTCATACATGTTGTGGCTGCTGTATTTTGTAGTTTATTTTGATACACTTAAAATTGAGGTATTTTGTATTTTATTTTAATATACATTTTAATGTATTTTTGCCCATCCCTCTACATGGGTAACCAAGTCAATACTTTTAACAACCCTAGATCCTACACACTGGCTTATCTCACAAACCTTGATTACTATACTGAAATATTTTCTGGGTGATTCTCAGAATGTTTTAGTCAACTGTCAGTCTATGGAGGATCTGTTTCCATTGGGAGACTCTAAAAACAGTGTTTAAAAGCAAGCCTCATGCTCTTCGCTTTCTATTATCCAAAATGCATACTTTCATAAGAGTTTATGTGAGAAAAATGTGTCAACGAATGGTACATACAACAATTCGAAGGCAATGAATAAAGGTTATTTAAAGGGTTAGTTCACTAAACACGAGCCGTTTTTCATCATTTACTCAACTCCATGTTGTTTCTAATTTTGTTTTAAAAGTATTTTAATAAGATAAAACATGTCAGGTTTCATTAAAATACCTTATTTAGTTTATTAGGTTGGAACACAAGGATGTGTACAGAAAAAAAAAGAATTTAATGTTTTAGTCATTTAAAAGCAAAAAATGGAAGACAAAACAGGAAATTTTCAAGGAACAGGAACAATCTAAGATTTTTTATATCTTCACTTAAACATTAAAGATTTTTACTAAAACTGTGGTTCTTGGTGATTATAAAATTTAGGTCAATGGCTAGCTTAGCTTTGATCATTGAATCAGATTAGACCATTTGTAACTTAAAATTTGATAATTTTTAAGTAAATTAAAACACAATTGTTCAACACTAGATGAGTTGTACAATTTCCAAGAAAAGTGAAGTTTCCCCTCACTTAAACATATACATATAGGCAACACAAAATTAATACCCATGGCTCATGATGATACATTTTTAAGTCCTTTAAAGTGAAATCAGCCTGTGCAAGAAATAAATAAAGTTAAATTTCTTGCACAGATCGATTTAGTTTTTTCCATAAGATCTTAATGTATCATCCTAAGCCATGTGTATTAATTTTGTGTTGCCTGTACACATATTTTTGACTCATAAAGTGACAGTTATCAACCGCCATTCTTTTTGGATGGCCCAAGGATGAGTTAATTACAACCAAATTTACATTTTTAGGTGAACAATCCCATTAATGTTCTCCTATAGATGTATAACTCTCCCAACTAAAACCAAATCTAAAGCAAAGTTTAATGCGCAGGCTTACTTTGATGGAAGAGTGAGCGTAGAGCATGTCTTCCAGACTGAAGTGGCAGCAGTGGTTCAGCTGTTCCCTGCAGAAGTCCTGGATGAGCTGGAGATTGTACAGACTGTCTGCCAGCGACATGGTCTCGTTCAGGCAAATGTCTGCAAGTCAAAGATTCAAAGTGATACAAACTGATCAGGCGTTACAGATCATTCAGCTTATCTGTCAGGGCTCAGCCAATCACAGCGAAGACCATTAATCACAGGCTTCTAAATGACCGATCATGTGATTCACGTTGGTCTTTGGAGATAAAATGTAAATACATCCATCAGAGCCAGGATAATCAGGTTCACTGTTCTGGTTCATCACTGTGATTAGATCAACAGTGAGTTCTAGATGATTAAAGTCACAGAAAACAAATGTAAGTGAGTAGTTGTGGAGTATTGTATATAAATTCAGAAATTAATAAATAAATATAAAAGAAAATCTAGATTTTGCAATGAATATTAAATACATTTACAGCATTATATATTGTTTCACAACAATTCTTATATAAAATATAATCTTATATAAGAACTCTAAATTAATCTTATATTAATTACATTTTTCCTTAAAGGTGCAGTAGGTGATTGTCTTCAGAAAACTTTTTGTTGTGCTAGTTGAAAGTCTCTTCATAGACCAATACGCTTATTTCACGCGGCCGCCATTTTAAAGAAACCAGAGGCTGTGGTGGGAAGAAACCCGGAAGTATAGGACCAGCACTGTAAACATTGCAGTTACATGCTGTGGACTACAAACCTCCAGCTGTTGAAGAGATTTCAAAATGCAGAAATGGTGTAAACATCACTTTAATATCATTCAGTAAGTTTATTTTAAACAATTAAAAGCAATTTAGCATCAAACAACATCAAAATCTCTTTAAGAGTAATATGCTCTAGTGTCCTCCTATGCTTCAGTTCATAGCACTAGTTTAAACACCGTGGGGACGCTTTAGCCTATGCAATCCAGTGAGCGATTAAACACTGCAGTCCTCTGCAGCACACCCTCGTGTTGTCTGTAATAGTGTTGTCCCGGTACTGAAGTTTTAAAAACGTCCATTTCCCGCTAACATTCAATCGCCGCTGAGCACGTTTATAAACAGCGCTGATTTACCATAGTGTTCACCAGTGTATTTTTATATTCTGGGTAAGGCATAAAACTAAAAATGTTCATCCAATTTAAATAGTGTCGGGCCGATATTTCCTATAATTCCGACAAGTAGCTCAAACTGTCTGTCAGCAAATGCAGATTTGAGCTACTGCGCACCTGTTTTTACGCAGATCCACCATTTGTGCATACATGTGCTGAGAGAGAGAGAGAGAGAAAGAGAGAGAGAGAGAGAGAGAGAGAGAGTAAAACACACTGAATCAAAACTTTTTAAAATCCTGAATCAATATTGGAGTTACTTTTCCACGCTGGAAGAAGGACGACACCATGGCTGAAGGATTTCTTTTAGACAGGTAATATTTTTTTAACTATTTAAGTCATGCAAAGCTGATGTAGATGTTGTTACAAATGGGTTATATGCACATAAGTGTTGTTCAGCCACTGAAATCTCCCAATGAAAGATTGATGTGACTATTTTCAGTTTCATAAGGTCTTTTTAAAGCATCAATAATGTAGATTTATATTTACTTTAACAACAAAACATCAGTAAATAGAGCTATTCGGCCTAGCCTGCTTTACTGAGCTGAAGTTGGTTTTATATTCACATTGGTTCATTTCAGGAGGCGTGGCTTTGGACAACAGAGGAGGGACTGTTTTTCAGAGATTTATGCTAACAGGTTAGCAATGTGGCAGATCCCCTACTGCACCTTTGAATCAGTATTGTCAACTTTTTATATTACTCTCATTTTTATAAAATCATTAATACAAGTCATTATTTTATAGATAGATAAATATTGTGGATAAACAGAAATAACAGTGTCATGTTATAGCATTTTACAAAAAATAATAAAATAGACAATAACAAATAATGTTTTTTAATGAAATGGTACAACAACATTGATCTTTATTCATTTTGTAATAATACAAAACTCAGTATTCAATCTGAGTTTTCAATTCAAGATATTATTTCTATTGTTATTAATTATCAATTATCAATTGTATTTTGTACAGTGAAAATATCATGTAATATATGCTAATCATTGGAATTAAAACATATTTTATAATATTTAACATCAAAATAATACACTAATTCTGTGAATTTAAAAAAGATTAATAAACATTTGTCTGTTGTATACTATTGTAAATATTAGGCAAAAATATGAATATAATAACATTTTTAAAATGAATAATACAATATTATTGTGATAAATGTGCTTTACTGATTAAATATAAAGGGTAAATTATTTAATGTTTTATGAAATTATGCAAAAATATAAATATAATAATGCTGTATTTACATTAATACTGTCATTATTTGTATTTTAAAATATAATATATTGAAATAAACAACAGTATACATTTTGTGTCCAACCTGATTTTGCAAACCAGGTTCATTCTGGAAACATACCTCTTTATACACTTCTGGAGAGCACCAAATACGTCACTAGAGCTACGCTTTTTTTGTTTTTTTTGCAGTTTTTGTTTTCGCAAATACACCAGAGGCTGCTGTGTATGCTTTTTCAGATCTCAAATTTCTCTCGCAAGTGCCTGCTGTTCTTACCAAAATTCACTAGATTTTGGCTTCTGTTTTTGTTTTACCTGCTTTCTGGAACCGTTTTTCAGCGGACTCGAACCCCGTCAACATGGTCATCTACTTTCTGTGTCTCAAGTCCACCGGCCCACATGGCGAGCTAACTAGACAAACTGGTAACAGCGATACTGAGGTATCCAGGCAGCTGATGAACCCGTAAAGGAACAGCATCATACCGCCCTGTAGCGTTTGTTTAAAAAATGAAATGTAGCCATATGTACTTCTGGCTACATTTTTCACAATCTCCAGAAATGTATATAGGGGTGCGTTTTCAGATTGAGTCTGTGTTGTGATTTTAGCAAGTAGGACATGTTCCTGGATTAACATCTATGTTGATCCTGGAACAACATTCCAATCAAGAAATCAGAATTAAGGCATATGTTTACAGTTTATGTTAAGCTTCGACTTTTGATTAACATGATTGTTATGCAATTATATTCCCCCCTTATTTTGGGAATTATTTAGTTATGGTTGGGTTTAGGATTAGGGAATAGGTATGGATTACATTTCTGAACAAAACATAGATTAACATTGATGTTAATCCAGGATCACAACGTGCTACTTTTTAGTAGCAAAAACCTATCTATTGTACAACACCAAGTTAGAAAAAGTTGGGGCAGTATGGAAACTGCAAATAAAAAAAGGGGGTAGTGATTTCCAAATTTACTTTGACACAAATATACAATCCATCATAGTTTACATCATTTTCTTGAATTCATATGTGGAGCATGTGTGTTATTTGTGCTCAGTATTGTTGCTGATTTTGGCAGGTTTGTGCACCTCTCAGGCTGACGGTGGTGGGGCAGTAGAAGTGCAGCAGGGCGGCGAGAGCACAGCCATCTGTGCTGTCCTTCAGCAGGTTGTCCACCGGAGGGATCCACGGTAAACACTTGGGCAGAACCTGCTCCTTCCTGTAACGCGCCTGGAGAAAACACACACCAACAGCGAGTCAGGAGAGTAAAACACATATTTGTGTACAATAACTATGGTTGTAGAGGTCTATTCAGTTGTATGGAATGTAAAATGTAAAAAAAAATTATTAACTAAAAGAAGTGGTGGATACCATGGATGGCAACAGTAGATCTATTTTTCTACTGTATTTTTATGGCAACAGTCAAAGATCCCCTGAAGTGCCTTGAAATGTGCAGCTTTGTGTGAGGATTCTGACGTCATTGCAATTGAAAGTTGAAATCAGGATGAGGCATGTTGAGTAGCTCCGCCCCATTTTTAAAATAGCCAATAGTGTTTTGTTTACTTCACAACTCTGCCAATCAAGGCTGTTAAGCTCTAGCACTTCATTCTGACTCATATTAGCCTCAGTTTATAACAATAGTAAAGAGTCTATCATCTTTAACTTCTTTAATCGACTTGAACGTCATTATGAAATCAAAATGTACTTTTCATATGTATATAGTGCTTGTTATAAACGTATACACATCTTTTCACATCATAATCAAAAAAAAATTATAATAAATTGCCCTCATAATCTTTTATCCAATATTATAAACTTCCCTCTTCTTTGAAACTAATCTTAGATTAACATTTTGATACTAACACCCATAAATGGTTCATTGTATTGTCAGGGGGACTTGAATGAAGCCGATGACAATGAGGAATGAGGAATGTGGAAGTGTCTCCATGACAACAGAAATGAGACGCAAGCTTGAGATTGATCAGGCATCTGACAGTAGCACTTACAGGAACCAGCTTCATGTACCACTTGGTTGGAGACTTCAGGCGGTCAGAGAATGAATGAGAGAGAAGGAAAGAGTAGATACATCAGAGATCATTGAGACTAGTTGGCTGTTCAAGTCCCATATAACATTAAGCCTGATAATTCCTTCTTTACCAGAAACAGGCATATAATAAAACTCTTACAATCTGAAGAAACCTTAGTAACTTTTTCAATAAAACAAATAAAATAAAATAAATAGATAAATAAATAAATAAATAAAATACAGTTAAATAAATAAAATAAAGTTAAATGAATGAATAAATAAATAAAATAGTTAAGTAAATAAATAAAATAAGGTTTAATAAATAAAATAAAGTAAAATAAATACAAAAAATTTAAGTAAAATAAATAAAATAAATGAGTAAAGTAAAATAAATGAAATAAAGTAAAATAAACAAATAAAAAAATAGTTAAATAAATAAATAAAATAAGTAAATAAAAATGTATTAAATAAAGTTTAATAAATAAATAAATGAAGTAATGCAATGAAGTAAATAAATATCAAAATAAATAGATAAATAAATAAAATAAAGTAAATTAAATAAAGCAATAAAATAAAGTAAAATAAATAAATAAAGTAAAATAAATAAATAAAATAGTTAAATAAAATAAAATAAAATAAAATAAAATAAAATAAAATAAAATAAATAAAATAGGGAACTGACAAATAGCATGACACCGATCCAGGCCCAGACATTTCCCAATCACATTTCTCTCCCTCTGTCCCACTTAACTTCATGTCATTCTACTGTCTTGTCAATTAAGGCAAAAATGCCAAACAACTCAATCTTTAAGAAATAAAAATAAATATTTTTTTTAAATCATAAAATATTAATAATACACTTAAATAATAATAATATACAATAAACATAAATAAAACACCTGATATTAAATCAAAATAATTTTTTACAGAATATTTCAGTATTTATTTTAAACACTTTATCTTATATCAAAGTAATATTAGCACTTTTTGAAATTCACAAAATGTATATTTAGTAACTGACATGAGGGCGTCATCAACTTGTCACTCACATAAAATCAACCAATAGCAAACCACCACAATCCAATCAATTCCCATTGGTCAAAATCAATTCCCGCCTAAAAGTCTTTCTTATTTGAGATCCCGTTTCACTCACAAAAGAGAAGGAAAGACGACAACATCGAGACAGAAATAGAAACCAAAATAAAAAAAAATTGTCCCGTTCACTGTCCCCTCTCCAGAGGACACCGTGTCCTGGTTCCTGCCATGCTTCTGCTTTTATTACAGTTTTAAGCTTCTCTCAAACTTCTCTCAAGGCTTAAAAGACTGGAATCAGGAACAGTATCATCAAAGGCATGCCAAAACATCTGCAGGGGTCCAAACCCGAAGAGCAGAAAAACTGACAGAAATTAAACCCCTGCGAATCACAATGATAAAGCACATTTACCCAGGATGCCATAGAAAGACTGCAAACTTACAGGATTAGTCTTTTGCCTGCAGATTATGTCTAGAAACAAGAGTGTACTTTCGGCTGGGCAAAAAACCAACAAAAAAAGACCTGTTAATAACAGTGAATGTCCATAAGAGTGTGTTCGTTCTGTTATATATTAGCAGAGCTGTTATCATCTGTTGTGTTTGTGTGTCAGTCTGAGTGCTTTATGCCATGCTGGCTGTTGCAGGATGTTTATAATGTTGTGTAACTGCCTGACATTCCTCTTCAGCACTGATTGTGCCCGCACTGCCTCTCAAACTCACACATACACACACCGCCTATGAGAACTGACGGCTCTCATTAGCGTCAGATGTGTGTCCCCGGGACGGGTGAACCGAATACTGTCAGACGCCCAAAACAGTGCAGTCTGATGACTCTGCACTTCACACTCGCTCCGATTGTGACATTAAATGATAAGCTCACCTAGAAATTAAAATGTAGTCATCATTTACAGACCAATGTGTTGTTGCTATGCTGTACACACCACACAATCTGATTTTTATTTTAAAGTGGCGTGCTCTTATACTATATGATATAGCGCAAGTGAATAAGCAATCAGTCTTGTGTTTTTTTTTTTATTAAAGATAAAAAAGTATCACAGATTCAACCAGAACAAGTAAATTGGTTGTGTCAGCACATGCAGTTTTACCATGTCAATTGGTCAACAAGTTGTTATATTTGTGCATATGTGATGAACTGGTACATTGTATATACAGTACATATACTATAAATCCTGTTTAGAATTGCCGTCTCCAGTTGTTCAATCCGTGCGTTCGTGTACTACAGGAAAACATTCAAAATCGTCCCACAACTTGGTCAATTTGTGTTTTGTACACATCATTTTTTTAAATAGCTGTGTAAACAATATCAAACTGTATGTTTACTCATACTAAAGATAATATTAATAATTGGCACCTCAACGTGATTCAACTGTGCATTTCTACGAACGTGAAAGAAAGATGTTCAAAACTGAAACGCTTTCAAGATTCATGCCTCAAGATGGTCAAAATGCACATTCACACCTACAACAGAAACATTCAATACTTTCAACTGAAACAGACAAATTGCACATTCACAATTACAAAAGAAACATTAAATATTTTCAACTCAAGATGGTCAAATTGTGCATTCACACTTACAAAAGAAATGTTTAAAATTTCTGACTGAAGACGGTCAATTAGTGCTTTCACACTTATAAAAGAAACGTTGAAAAATTCCAACTCAAGGTGGACAAATTGTGCATTCACACTTACAAAAAAACGTTCAAAATTCACAACTTAAGATGGCCAAATTGAGCAATCACGCTAACAAAAAAGTTTTAAATTCACAACTCAAGACAGCCAAATTGGGCATTCACACTTACAAAACAAACAAACAAAAAAAAATGTTTAAAATCACCACTCTAAAGGATCCAATTGCGCATTTACACTTGCAAATGAAATGTTAAACATTTTCAACTTAAGACAGTCAAATTGCGCATTCACAATTACAAAAGACACATTTAATAATTCTAACTTAAGACAGTCAAATTTAGTCAATGGGGAGGAAATGTCCTCGAACCGGGATTCGAACATGGTACATCCTAACGTGCTACTGCATCATATGTCAGCGCGCTAACCACTAGGCTATTGCGCTGACAAAACATTTAAAATTTTTAACTGAAGACGGTCAAATTGCGCGTTCACAATTAAAAAAGAAACGTTTAAAGTTTACAACTCAAGATGGTAAAAATTACCGTTCACAATTTAAAAAGAAACATTTAATATTTCCAACTTAAGGCGGTCAAATTGCGCATTTACCCATTAAAAATTACACGCTTAAAATGTCCAAATTAGTGTGGTCAAACTGCGCATTCACACTTACAAAAGAAACATTAACTATTTCCAACTCAAATCAGACAAATTGCATATTCATTATTACAAAAGAAACATTTAACATGTTCAACTCAAGATGGTCAAATTGTAGGTTTACACTTACTAAAGAACTGTAAAATATTTGCCCTGAGATAAACTGTGCATTTACACTTACTAATGTTCTATTTTTTTCTTGAGATTGTCAATCTGTGCATTTATACTTATTAGAGAAGAGCTGAGCATTTGCACTTATTAAAAAAACACAAAAAATGTCCACCTCGAGTTGGTCAAACTGTGCATTTATACTTACAGTAACGTCCAAAACTGCCACATCAAGAATGTCAAAAAACTTACAAAAACTTTCATATTATTTTGCCTTGAGCTGGTCAAAAAATACACTGACACCACGATATAGTCAAAGAGCGTGTCTGTGTACTAAAAAAACACACTGAAAAAATTGTGGCATCAACACAGTTAAATTGTATGTAAACAATAGAAATTCATGCAATTTTCCTAAGGACTTTTGACCCTGATGGCCTTAAAAAATAAGCTCACAGCATCGCATCTGCTTAGAACATGGTATAACACATGAAGTTTCAGTTTGTTTTTCACTAAACCCCTGGAACGCGTCACATCAGATCATTCTGTGATACTTCAATAAGCTAAAAGGCAGTAGTTATTTTTTGCCATTACATGAACTAGCACAAGCAGGACATTTGTTGAAATTTCTTCTTTATTATATCAACACAATGGTAAGTAAATCAGAATTGGATCAACCTTGCTATTTTAAACATAGAATTACTGCTATCTGTTGCTATTGCTATCTATTTAATAAAGGACACGGTGTACATAAACACTCTTTTTTCTTTAGCGAGAAGGTAAAACAAGGTGAAAAACTGACGTCATCCCACCATGTTCGCCAAATATACTGTCACGTCAGGACAAGAAGATAAAATGCTAAACGTTTTAGACATGAATCAGCAAACATCGCTCTTCCATCAGCCTGCTGGAGCGTCTGCATGAGGAATCAGCAACACTGTGATTCAGCAAAGTCAGAAATACCCTGCAACTGCAGTATGTTACAAAACACGACAACACAAGTGATGATGTCCGGCAGCGTCCTGTGAACTCATGTCAACTCAGACAACACTTACTGAACAATCCTACTTCCTTTCAGACAAGAATGTGCAGTAGCAGACAAATATTAATAGTTAATAACAAATTTTATTTGTTATGTTTTCAAGTTTTTAATAATGTTTAATGTTCAATTTAAATAAACATTTAAGGCTCTATTTTGACGGTTCATGCGCAGAGCACAAAATGCAGGGCGCAAATGCTTTCAGGGCGTGTCAGAACGCATTTTTGCTAATTTAAGGATGGGAAAATCTGCTTTGCGCCGTGGCGCATGGTCTTAAAGGGTTCCGTTTATTTTCTTAATAAGTTATACGTGTGTTTTTTGATAATAAACCAATCAGAGGTAAAGTAAGTAAAGTAAGTTCACTTTCGCTTTTGCTCTCGTGGATAGGGAAACCTTTACGCACAGACATCAATTAGCCTATAAATAATTCATTTCGTTTGTTAAGCGCAAAGATTTGTTTCAAAACTATTTCTAAATTCAGTTCTAATTTCTAGCAAACGAATAAATGAACAATAATAACCAAGTGTGGTCAAAATACTGAGTTATTTCCAAATACACCTGCCATGCCCGATATGGTCTAAAACTTGACAGGTGGACAAATCTAAGCTTGTTTTTAATAAAACAAATATAAATATGGATATAATAAAAAATACTGCTAATAATAATAACATTATACAAAAGCAAATTGAATGAACTGAAAAAGCTTCCCGAGATGAAGAAAGTATGATGGCAGTGGTTTTTAAATTCATGTAGGCTAGAAATTAATATGTTTTGTAATATTTTAATCATTTATATCCTATATATATATCCTTATTAAATATACATACATATATATATATATATATATATATATATACTTAATATATTATATTTTTTTCATATGTAAAGATATTTGTGTATTGCTCTACATCTTGTGTGTAGTGTGTAAGCCAGGCGCACTTTGCGCCAGACAATAGACCGACTTTGTTCTGGTCTAAAGAGGGACAGTCTGCCTTAAATAAGTTTTAGGGAGTAGGTGATTGCTTAAGGAGGCAAAGTGAGGCGTGGTCCCTCTGCCGAACCTTTGTTAACAAGTTTTGAAACCTACCTAAACTGCAATAAAAATCATATGACATGAATCCATGTTAATTTAGTCAAAAAACATGTATTCATATTTAATAAACAAGACATATATCATTTAGTATATAAAATACTGAAATAACAATATAACGACTGACAAAACCTTTAGGCGATGAGTTAAAGTATTGCAATCCTTTTGCTTTGTGTTTAAGATTGTAAATTTAGATTAATTTAAAATTAATTAAGCATTGTATTTTCCTCCCAAATATGTATGCGCATTGTTGATCAGAATAACCTGTATTTGAAGCATTTCATGTCTGCAGAACGTTTTAAGCAGATTTCAGAGACATGCAAGTACTCATTATGACCAAAAACAAATCCATCTTTTTGTATCTTCCTCCCCCAGATGAAAGCAACGGTTGAGTCACTGCTGATTCAGAGCGAGAGCAGAAAGTGCACATTTACCTTTGGATTCTCAACAGGCTCTGCGTTCTGCGCCTCCATCCGCCTTTGCTCCTGCATTATGATTTCCTTCAAGTATTCATTCACCTTGAAAAAAAGAGTAAAACAGAAGAGCCTTTGAGGATCTGTGCATTAAAAAAACATCACTGCCATTATATTCAGTCCAAACACTTCTGTTTCCCTTCTTATGTTAACTTATTTAAGCTTATATTATGTTATATGATATATTATATTATATTAAATTTTATTAAATTAAATTAAATTAAATTATATTATATTATATTACATTATATTATATTATTTTATATTATATTATATTATATTATATTATATTATATTATATTATATTATATTATATTATATTATATTATATTACATTATATTGTATTACATTAAATTAAAATTATATTTTTTTAAAACACAAAATTAAAATCTATTTATTAAATGTTGAAAAAAAATATCTAAACAAAACACTTGCTTTAAAATGTATTTTTATTTGTGTATCTTGGTCTAAGATTTTTAAGTCATGTTACTTTTAAAATTAAAAGTGTGACAAATATACTAATTTCAAGTATATAACAAATTCTGCATTTGCATTTAAATAAATGTCCCTGAAATGTGGAAATGTAGTCCTTCATGGTCTATTTAGCATGTGTGTGTGTGTGTACATTTACAGTAGTGTCTGGATTTAGGCTGACGGTACAGCTGGCCTGCAAAGGAATGTAAACAAATATCCAGAAACGTCCCTTCGTAGACGGCCAGAGATGCCCAGAGAGACAATACAGGGACAGGAAACTAAGTCATGTTATAAGAGCAAATTCTTTAATTTTAGGCTCATATTGGGTTATGGTGTTAAAAAAAACTGGATGTACAAATGCTAAGATCCACATCAAATCTTAAAATGCACATTAAACTGCTTGTTTCACACATTTGATCTCTTTATGAACATGCTGAAGTTGTTTTGTTGTCAGAGTTTTTGGGGAACAGAAATCTCTTTTTTTTTTAATTATCCTCATTTGTGTTCTGACGATGAATAAAAGTCTTACAGGTTTGGAATGACATAAAGGTGAGTTTGTTTTTTTTGGGAGGGTGAATTAACATAAATTGCATTAATGTAAATATTTAGGCCAAAACTGATATTTGTTTATAACTCAAAGCCGATAACCAATATGTAGACTGATAATTGTACCACTTATGAATATAAAACTATAACAAAAAAAGAATTCTAAGCTTAATATCAAAAACAAAAGTCAAACAAATACAGTGGAGTGACTTTATTTTAAGCTATTAGAAACAACAACAAACACATCTATAAACATTTAAACCTTTCTTTTTGCAAAATCATTAACAAATTGCAATTCTGGAGTCCTCTTCCTTCGCAGAGAAACCCCACACACTGCTTACATCTTGTCTTTCCTTAAGCAAAGACATTACAGTTTTTCTCAGTGGCATTGGTGCATTTCTCACAACATTATTTACAATTGCACAACAGTTAATGCGTTTCACAAAACAATTAGTACAAACTGCAAAACCTAGCTGATAACCTGCAAAAGCGGGTCACTTGCTCAAAATGGAGAGTTCATTCCTCAAAAGCAAGTATTGAGGTCAATGGAAGTGTCAGTGTCGTCAAGATGAAAAGTCCTGACACCATTGTTAGTCAAATGGCTTTGTCCTGTTTCATTATGTCAGTTTACTCTGGACATTTAATCCAATGCAAAAAAGTCTGATTTTGGTGACACTTCCAGAAAATGCTCAAGACAGCACTATATACTATTTGCACAGCCATTTGAAAAATACAGTAAAGTTAGACATCACTGCATTTAGTGAGGCATCTGAGTACAAGACACTGAATATGAATGCTTCACATTTTTACTGCATTTTCTCTTTGCAATTCTAATTTATTCACAGCATTGTGCAAAAGAATAAATACACCCTTATTTACAACAAACATAAACTCCCATTGGGTAGAGCTGTGCACAACTGTAAACAATATTGCAGTACATACTGGAACTGAACCTACATCACACACAGGTCTGTAATCATTCATGAAATTATTCAATTTAGAAGACATTTTCAGGGGAAAAAATACTTGATTTTTAAAATAAAATTAGCTTGACAGATTTGACAACTAGTTTAACATTTTTGTCTGTAATGACTGAAGTAAAGAAATAAGGACTATTAGTTTTATATGTCATGACTATTCAGCATTCACAAGTTCAGTTAATTTTGACTGACATGACATAAGCAAATGATAATGTTATAAACAGCAGAGAGTTGTATAAAAATAATTGATGCATGTCCAAAAGCATTTACAATTTGTTGGAAGAAATGAGAAACTGCTACTAAGATGTGCATGAATGTGTCATGTCTGCTGTAGTGCCATCTTGTGGTTTTCTGGACACTAGTTATGTTTTGGTTTGTTCCTGCTTTGTAGTTCACGTGATCACTAATTGTTTCCAGCTGTCTGTCATTGTCTAATTATTGTTGTCTTTATAAGCCTTGTTATGTGGTGTTTAGTTTGCCTTTGGATTTTTGCTGTTTTGCTCGTGCACCCTGTTCACCCGATTCTGGTTTGTTTTGTCCGGCTCTTATCTGTACGTAGTCTACTCACTGACTCATCGTTTTGGTTTGTTTGTTTGTTTGTTCACTTTGTTTCATGTTGTGATCATATTTTTGAATTCCTGTTCTAACTTTGTTTGATACACTTTGTTTATTGTGTTGTACTTTTGTCTCTGTTCGATTTTTGAACCTGGCCTGTCCCCTTATTTATTATTAAAACTTCTATTGCTGCACTTGGATATCTTTTGTATTTTTGTAAGCCCATCGTGACAGAATGTCTAATTGTTTTGAGAAATGCATTAACATAGCTTGTGATAAGGTGCTTTTCCAGTGCATGCTATGGTGCAGTTTGATTTGGTACGATTACTTTTGGGGGCTTTTCCACTGCTTTCCATCTAGTATGAGGGGTGAGACTACACAAGGGGCAGACAAAAAGGTTTTTACTATATAAAGCCCTACATTGGAAATGTATGTAAGGTGGATTGAAAATGCAATTTGATGCATCGGTTACAGTGAGCTTTTGAAAAATGTCCAACTATAGCTTATGTATGCTTAATTTGTTTTTAACTCGATTTGAGGAAACAGCATCAGCTCTGAAAATGAAGGCAATCACTGTCAGGAGTCTTATAATAAATGTGTTTATCTTGTTTTCAGCATTAAACAAAAATCCTTCAATAAAATCTGAAAGTATTTGCTAATATTTGAAAATCACACGAGGGCAAATAATTGACTTCAACTGTAACAATAAGTATAACGATAACAATATTTAAATCCAATTTAAACATGCAAACCCAGCTGAAAAAAACTGGACTAAAGAAATCTGAAAGATACAAAAAGCGCAGTAGAAAAGTGGCTTTAAAAACATGAACAAGACAATGTCATATCAAAGCATTGTGCATAATTGTAGTATTGAAACCTCCCAAAATGACCTTATTCATCCAGCTGGTGACGGCATCCTCTGTGTCGTAGGGCACGTCTCCGTCTGGATAATCGGTGGAGTATTGGTGCATGCAGGCCATCACCTTCTCCACGCTCACCGTCTCCACTGTATACGCCATCATCAGAGTGTCGATCATGGCCAGGTGGGCGCTCTGTGAACCACAAATCAATAAAAGCATTGTTAAACTCTCATTGTTAAACTGCAACTCTTCAATACCCAGTCAGTCATTGTCTCTGGAGTGTGTTGTGCTGGAAACGGCAGTGTTTATCCCCTGTTGCTTGACCTAATTCTTCATACAGAAGACAGTTACTCAAAATTAAAGAAATCATATGTTGAACGTAGGGATGTACGATTTTGCAAAAACCAGACATTTCGATATTTTGTTTTTGTGCAATATATATTGTGATATGAATATAATTTCACCAGATGGCTTGAACAACACTATTTGGAAAGAATTCATTCGTTTAGATTGATAGGAGTGAATTTGTAAAGGTGTGACTAATGTATATAAAAAATAAACAAATCACAAGCAAGAATAATTGCAATAGAGCACAAAAAAAGTAAAATAATCAGTGCTACATGGTTTCCCAGAGTCAAACAGTATTCAAGTAAAGAAATTGAATAATGAAATGTACAATAAAATTAAATAGTCTTCATTGCATTAATAATTAATTATGTCAAATTATTCTTCGTTATCTTTATAAATGTACTTTTTTGTGCCTGAATGCTTTAAACTCTCTTGAAATACCTTTGAATCACATGAGAAAGATTCACTCTGATATTGCAATAATTTGCAATTACTCCACAAATCTCATGTATTCTTAATTGTTGTGCAGTTCAACTATAATCCCATTCCTAACTCAACATTGCAGATCCTGCGATGTGAATATTGTGTACACACACATTGCAACATTGATGCTGAAATGATATATGAAGTTGGTGCTGAAGTTGGTAGTTGAGGTGAAGCAATTCCATCCAAATGTCAACCTTTCAACCAAAAAGTTTTAACCAAAATAGCAAAACCCTTTCAAGGTCTTTTGTGTAGACTTGTATTTTACTGTACTGTAAAAAAACTCAAAAATGTAAATGTTTTCAAACAATTATATTGGTTTTACCAAAGTCACACAAGTGCTAATTTCACATCTGTAACACCCATGACCAAGCTTTTTCCTCATAAATGCAAAAGCGTTTGTTCTACAGTGAGAAAACACTTATCCTTTTGATGAGCATTATTTATTTTTGGTTGTGCAGTTTAATTTACAGAATTTCTACAAAGTATGTTGTATACTGTAAACTCTGGTCACATCTATATCCCTCATTTAAAATCTAAAAAATGTTTACAGATTGATATTTTTCGGCTCCTGTAACTCTGTGGCTCGTTGTTTTAGTAAATATAAACAGATTTTTCAATAACGTGTTAATTTTTACTTTCTTTGTGTATTTGTTTTAGGTTTTTACTGCAAATGTCACATCCATAATGCTGGAATTGCTCATTGGTCACTTTATTAGGTATATCTGTTCAACTGCATGTCAATGGACATATCTAATAAGCCAGTCAAATGGCAGCAACTCAATATATTTAAGTGGTCAAGATGGTCTGCTGTAAATTGAGTATTCAGAATGAAGGTGATTTAAGTCAGGGTTTCTCAACCACGTTCTTGGAGGAACATCTGCTCTGCACAATTTCCATGTTTCCTTAGACAAACACACCAGATTCAGATCATCAGCTCATTAGCAGAGACTGAAAGATCTGTAATGAGTGTGACAGACAAAGAAGGCTTCCAAAACATGCAGTGTTGGTGGTCCTCCAGGAACATGGTTGAGAATCACTGACTTAGGGCGTACTCACACTATGTACAGTTGCCTTGAACTGGGCCGAAGCATGCTTGCACACTACAAGTGTACCGCGCCAAAGCCCAAGTGAACACCTCTTCCAACCTGGGCACGGTTCGGATAGCATAGTGTGAGTACGCCCTCTAAACGTGGTTGTTGGCATCTTCGTTTTCAAGAAACTTTTGGGATTTTCACACACAAACATCTCTACAGTAGGGCTGCACAATATATTCTTTCAGCATTAAAACCGCAATGTTATCAATCACAATAGTCACATTGTAAAATATGCAATGTTAAGTCTATTATAGGTCAATGTTGATCACTATAATGTATCATTTGCATGTGATTAGAGGCCTATGACTTAGTATTGTACCATTAGTAACTGTAAGATTTGGAAAACAATACAACGATATTTCAATCGTTTCGTTTTCTTTATTTACCTATGCTTTTTTTTATTTATCTATGCTTTTACTTTGATTATTAGATTCTATGCAGCAGATGCACACACCAACAAAATCATCCCAATCCTGACAATTATACATTCTTTCCAAATGGATATTCAAGCCATCTGGTGAAATTGTATTGATATTGCAATATACATAGCAGACTAACAAAATATTGCAATGTTACATTTTCAAAATATCATGCAGCCCTAGATTATATAGAAAAGGATCCGACAAAAAGAAAATATAGAGTGAGCAGCTAGTATGTGGCTGATAAAGCTGATGCCAGAGGACAATGGTTCGATCTGACAGAAAGGCAACTGTAACTGTGATAATAAAGTCTTTAACCTCATCCTCAATTCATCCCTTTAAAATTAAAAAGCAAAACAGCAGATTGTCCCAGTCACGGCCACCAGTTCCTCTGTGTACAGGCAAATAAAAAGAACCTACCACCCCATCCTGACCACAAATTAATACATGTCTGTCTTCTTAAAAGGCTTGTGTGCACAGAGAGATAAGACACTTTAGGAGGGTATTGATTTTGTTTCGCTGAAAGTAAACCTTGGGGAAAGGAGCTGCAGCACAGTGGGTAAACAGTAAATCAGGAAACACTACAAGACGAATTGAGCACATCTGATAGACAGTGTTACAGTGGCGACCCTTTCAGTTAACTGAACATCAATGTTTTTAAAGGCAGTCAAATGATTGTATAGCTGTAAATATTACTGAATAATTTCTACAACTTTTTTTCTCTCTTTCTTGAGCTCCTAAGCAAAGGTAAGTCTTTTGTGAGTCAATCTTGCATTACTGTCACTTTTCGCTAGTCTAACGTTAAAAAAAACGATTTTGTTTACCTAAATCTGCTCTTTCATGTCAGATCTGGGCGTGAGATTACTATGCGCCTTTTTTATTTTTTATTTTTTATTAGAATATGCTAAAAGGTACATAAATTGGGATCATACAAATACAAAGAAACATCAACGAAAACAACAAAACAACAACAAAAACAACAGTCAGGTACTGGTAGGTGCGTATGTGTGTGTGTGTGTGTGTGTGTGTGTGTGTGTGTGTGTGTGTGTGTGTGTGTGTGTGTGTGTGTGTGTGTGTGCGCGTGCGTGCATGTGTGTGTGAAGGTAACTTGGTGGACAGGTTAAAGTACATACATAAGGGACAATAACAGTCAATAAATGAAGAAAATATCACAGATAGAAATAAAACAAATAGAAAGAAAACAGTCAGTGGTAAGAAGTAACAATGATGCAAGTAATGTATGATAGTAATAATGACAGTAAAAAGAAAGAAAAAACAGATTACTATGCGTCTTATAGTCGCCGTATTTCCCATACACATTTCCCATCCCATGCTGGGTTCCACATAATCGATTTGATTTGAGACAACATGAAGGAATTAAGTTAACTTAGTAGTTATTACCAATTTAAGTGGATTGAACATAACCCAGCCTAGGTTGGCGTTTGTATGGAGTTCGCATGTTCTCCCTGCGTGGGTTTCCTCCGAGTGCGCCAGTTTCCCCCACAGTCCAAAGACATGCAGTACAGGTGAATTGGGTAAGCTAAATTGTCCAGAGTGTATGAGTGTGTGTGTGGTCGTTTCCCAGAGATGGGTTGCGGCTGGAAGGGCATCTGCTGCGTAAAAACGTGCTGGATAAGTTGGCGGTTCATTCCGCTGTGGCAACCCCGGATTAATAAAGGGACTAAGCCGACAAGAATGAATGAATGAATGAACATAACACAATTTGTTGTTTTAGGTTGTCCCAAAAAACCCTCATGAATTGCAATTTTAAAAAAGTTGTTTGAACAAACGTCATTTTCTGAGGGATAGTAATGATTCTATATCTTAGGATGTTTTGTTTATGCACTTGGTGTTAAAATGTTTTTATATTAGATAACTGTAGTGTCTTCAAGCAAATTTGTCACTTTTTTTTTTAAATTTGTCACAAGCATATTTGTGATATTATGATACTTTTTGAAAACAAATGAAATATATCTTTATTGTTATATGGATACATTTTTCATTGCTGAATCTTCATTGCTGTAGATTTAGTTTTTTTGTCACAAAGAATAATAAATTATATTTCTAACCCATTTTTGGGTTACAATTCAATCCAGCATAGTAGTTATTTTGAACTAAAACTTGGTTTAAGTAATACAACTAGGGCTAGACAATATAGCGATGTGCTTATCTCATATACAATGTTTAGCTTATATGTTGGGATTATATTTGAGCAAGAACCATAATTTCAAAAACATGAGATTTTTAGAGTTTAAGCATAATAAAAATGTATCATCCGCATGTGTTTTTTTAAAACCTGGGACTTTGCATTCAGGCACAAGAAATTTTACTTTTTATAAGTTTAATAAAGATTTAGCTTTTTTAACTATTTACAGTGAAGATTTTACAGTGTTTTACATGTAATCCTTCAATGTCTGTCCCTGAATAATGTTTCTGAATGAAACCATAAAGCACTCTAAATATATATATATATATATATACATTTTTTGCTTTATTGTACTGATCTGTTAAATGTATCTATGCTTATTATATTTTATGAATGATTCACACCTAGACTAATCCCAAAATTAGTCTAAATTAATGAATTCTTTCCGAATAGAGCTATTCAAGCTATTTGGTGAAATTATATTCATATTGCAATATATATTTCAGATAAATGTAATACTGCAATGCCATATTTTTCTAATATTGTGCAGCACTAGATACAGCCCAAGTTGTTGGGTTAAACCAACACAAGCTGAGTTTTTCAACCGATCGTTTTTTGATGTGTACTGTAGTCATCGTATTGCTCATAGATGCAGAAGACATTGGCAAGCAAAGACATTTTTACAGTTTTTTTTTTTTT